TCTGGCTACCTTATATTCAGTTGTTGTAAAACTCAAATATACTTCACAGTTATCTAGAGATCACAGAATTCCGAACACAACACTTAGTCATTCTCAGAGCCACGTTATGCTCCATTATTGTAAAACAAAGATAAATATCACAGTTATCAAACTAGCTGAAAATGCTTATGATTGCAAATTAAAAACATTGATAGACTGAAAGATTGGAAATTGACGGAATAATCTTAACTGTAAAATACTGTATGTTCAGAGTCCTCTTATGGACATATGTACAAAACAAAAGCATGCAAACAATCAGCTGATCCTCTGGATTTTTGGACGACGCCTCTCAGTGGTTGCATTTAGCAAAATCTTTTTGGCGGCAAAGCAAAACTGTCTAATCTATACTCTGTAATCTGTACACACAACAACTGGATTTCGACCTTCAATTTTACATCACATGTTAACTGTCAGACCTGTTGACAGGATTTCCTAGCGCAAGCGCACAATGTACGGTTTAGTTCGCGTTTGATCCTCTCCTTGTTCATAGTATGGTCCACAGAACATGCCTCAATAAGGGGGATATTTTGTGGTATGTTCATAGTTGTCTTTATCTATGGTGTTATCACAGACTACATACTATTGTTACTTATTGGTTGTTATTGTGTTTGTGTTTCGTTCACAGGTTTTGTTATTTGCTCGGTCTTGGTTTAATTTAATTAAAAATGGTTGTGATATGTTTGGTCTGCAACAAACCATTTTGCAAACAATATAGCTTAAACAGACATAATAGAAAAATACATCATCTGGCACCGAAACCTGTTGTTTATGATCAGTCGGAGTATATGTGTAAGTGTGTAGAAAAAGATTGTGGTAGTTCTTTTCGCTGGAATATTGGGTTGAGAACTAATTTAACTGAAAAACATAACATCAGGTTTTGTGTTCAGAAAATGGAATTTTCTCTGCTTAGAAACAAATATCTATACGTTACGCGCCCTTTAAAAGATAATATTATTTGATCAATTTGGGCAGCGTTTTATTTGTTATTATTACGTATCACTTACGAAGACGCGGTAATTCCAAGTAATGAGAATTCGGAATAATAGAATGAATCATAATCATGAAAACAATAATTGGTGTACCATTTAATTTAATTATGAATTCATTCAAAACATTCTTCAGAACATCCTGAGAAGTACCAATAAAACACTTGTTTGATTTGTCAATCCAATACGGTTTGTAATCATTAATAATGCAATATTCTAATGTATAACATGCATTCAGCTCTGTGCTGTATCATAAATGCTATTTTTAACGGCCATACGTTATGGCAACTTAACAGTTCAGGATAACATTTTCGATAACGCAGCAACACAACCGAAGTCTGCTATATCTCCGAGTTAACGTATGCGTTTCCGACCCAGTTATCCATCAAACGTTAAAAAGAAAAAAATATCGGATGCATAAAGTGAGATGTCGTTATACGAATATTCATTAGTTAGAGAGAGTTAACATCAAACCATCGAAGGTTCTAAAACATATGCACCACCGCCACATGTGCACGTGATGACCATTTGGGCCACCTACTTCCATACTTGTCTTTGTTTATGATGTGCATTCACTTTCAATTTCGTTCGTTAATGTTTTTGACCTATCATCTCAAACACTTTCAATGGAGCATGTACAGAAAAGGCAAAAAAACAATCCGCAAACAAATTGAAAATTTAGCAGAGTTTGTGGAGGAAAATAAAGTTT